TCCTTCAACTTTTAGAATCGGGATATCTCAGGAACTATGATTCTTAGAAAAAAAATATATGGACCACTTTTGTAGATAATTTTAAGATCTATAATTTTTGTCTGAACTACTTTTTTGATAAAAATTACCGTTTTCGAAAAAAATCCAAAAAACCTCCAATTTTGACCTTTGACCCCGAATAACTTTTTTAGCACACATGGGATTGGTGGGGACTTTTGACATTTTATTTCTAATGGTGTACCCAAGGTCTCCACCAAAATTTAGCTCTGTCGGAATTTTCGTTATTTGACCACTATTTTTATGACTAATTTGACCGGACTATTATTGTTTGAATGGCGTAAGAGTTACAAATATTTTATCCAGATATTTAAAGTTACTTATTTGTGTCGTAGTTTTAGTTTTTTACCTGTTTATTGGTATTTTTCCACCTGCGAAAAAAAAAGACAAGAAAAAAATACTCCTTACTAGATTACCCACACTTCAATTGAAGATTATGGTTCAAGAAAGAGCTAACAATAAGTGCGGAACAATCCGCGCAGACACTTTTCGATAGCACAAATTTTCGATCAAAATGCAATAAGTTTTTTGCGATGAGATTGCGATGTTTTTGAGATGCTCAGTTCCAATTCCATGAATTTCAATGAAGATCACGGATTTCGGTTGGCCAATGTTGCTCATCATTCAGTAAAAGTTTTACCAAGTTTAAAACAAAACTTAATATTAACTCTTTGTTCGTGCTCATTTTTGTCACAAACATATTGTCACTACAGACGCAATAACTCTGCTTCTATTCGTCTAAATGTCATTCGCGTTTTAAAATCTCAATCTTTTTTTTTAATTACGTTTCTTTTTTAACTAGATATGATAGTTTAATTTTTTTTGTTTTTGTATCTGGTACCCAGCCATCTGGGCTAGCCACTTACACTAACGAACGGTATGACGTCACAACATGGTTTCCCTGCGTTTTCCCGCGCTTTGTTTTCATTAATCATTTTGAGAGAGAAATTGTTGAAAACATTCTTTCACATTAACTACGACCTACGCTCACTGAAAATGAGCCCAAAGTCTGTCGATCCCGCACAACGAAGCCTTGCTCTTAAAGTTGATCGATTTCTAACAAAAAGAGGAGATTCAATTTGATGCTTAAGATACCAAATTGACCGTTGCAGGGAAACGATTTTAGCGACTACGATTAACTTTTTTGTACCTTTAAGGAGCTGAATCGATTAGGCAGGTTTGAAATGGTCAGGTAGATATTATCTCTTAGACTCCTCCCGGTTTGTGCTTCTGTTTATGATTACGTCTCAGTTTTGTTAACTTTCCAGTATCGCGAGATCCTTTTTGTAGGTAGCCTTTCATTTAATAAACACGGACTGGAGCGAAATGTGTATAATTTACTAAAATTTTAACGTGAAATACGTGTGATAAATGCAGTATAAAATTACTGTTAATAATTCGTTGCAGAAGGAATTTCGACGCGGTCTGAATATTACACTTTCTACTATTTTTTTCTAGCGTGGCTATAAACCATGCGACCAGCGTTAGCGGCACGAGCTTAAGCAGGTGTGTAAATATTTATAAATGCCAGCGGACAGCTAAAAGGTAATCTCCTGCCGAAGGCTGTGAGGATTATATGAATAATTTTCGTAGACAAAATCTCTACCTTTTTTTCAATCAGAATATCAAATTTTTTCAATATATTTTGTCCATACTCAGGGTAAATATGTATTAGGCTAAAGCCACTTTTGCGTAATTAAAAAATAATAATAAATAGTTAGCAAACAAACTACATAACACTGTTTTTATAGTTTATTATTATCTTTTTGCGATCCAAGATCCAATCGCGTCTTCAGTCTATCAATAGTAGGCACGTAATTCGTTAAGTAAGAACTGATTTCAAACCCCAGTAATTTCCCAATGGTATTCTTTTTTCACTTATATAATTAGATGGTATTCTCTAAACACCAGCTAATTCATTTCATCTATTATTATCTCGAGAACCTTGGCAGCATTTGAAAATTATGTTAGTGCAATTGCAAAGTAGAAAATTTTAATAACAACCTTACACATAGAAAAGATTCTTTAAATAAAAAATTATTTTATTATTTATTGTCATTTAAAGATAGTCATTTATTTTTATTCTTTAATACACTGAGCGAAGTATTTTGTAGCCATGAGCAAATTAAATTGATTAAACCTAACAAAATATAGGTTAGAGAAATGTTACACAAATATTGTAATTCATATTCTAAAGGCGGGTATCCAGTTTGTTTTCTGCAGTGACTAGGAAGAGTGTGTTTTTCTGTGTTTGTGCCATGGAGTGGAGTAAAGAAAATATTTCCGTAGATTTCCGTTTCTTATTCTTCAAAATTGTATGATGAATAAAAATATATGACGCTGCTGCTAACTGCAATTGCAGTGACGAATCCATTATTGCAGACAGGTTCATACTGCGAGTTTATGTTCCTGTGTCGTCTCGTAACCTTATTTTGTTACGTTACGGAATGAATGATACGACCAAAACCACACATACTTTCGCAAGGAACCGTGTCACCTTTTGCAACAGGCCGTAACATGTTCATTGTTACGTTACGGAGCATTGCCACAAGTGGATACCCCCCTTAAGAGTGTTTAATTCAAAATAAGCTCGGAAAGTGAAGACGAGCATTTACCAGGAAAAAAAAAATTGAGAGATTTTTACAAGAAGCACCTGACAATAGATTTCTGCTAGAAAAAAAATGTAATTAAAACGAAAAATGTGTTAACCAAGTGGTTGACGTCAACAAAATAAGGAATGTGCCAAACGAAATAGCAACTTGTCTCAATTTGCCTCATCCAGACACTTATACAAGGTACTGCTTTAGATGTTCTTCCGCCTGTCTGTTAGCCGACGCAGGGGCCGATATTACCACCATTAAACGATATGGGAGTAGCGTTCTAGTACGGTAGCGGAGACATATATAGAAGTTTCTATACAAAATAAAATTTCAATCGCAAATAAATTGTTACCATTTTCAGTTGTGCATACGAACCTTGCCAATAATACAACAAGCACAGTAAACTTAAACAATTACAGCAGCAGCCTCAATGAACACCCAGAACTAAACGCTACGATAACTGACAGCACTAGATCTGGCATAAAAACTCACTGCAATACCGGCACTCTCAATTTACATGTAGTGGTAGTGCAAAATAAATTGAAGTCGTCCTGTTTATAATAGTTACTGTTTTGTGTTTTGTATTGAAATGTTATATTACTTAAAATGTATATTGTTTTATTAATAAAATTTACTTTTTATTAATTGTTGCAATCCGATCTTAGCACAATTTTTTACCCTAGCAAAAGTTTTTATCGAGGTTGTTGTCATTCTAGAATGATGAGTTTTATAGCAATACCAGGAAATATACTTTGCTCTATGAACATAGGGGCAGAAAGCCACCGTTTATGAGATACAGGGCGTTGAAATTATCAAAAATAAAACAATTTTTTTAAATATCTGGAAAACCGCTCCATAAAATTTATCCAAATTTGGTACACATTTCTTTTCAAATATTTCTCCTAGTTCTGTATGCACACAGTCCAAATCCAAAAACCAGTGGCGGAGAAACAAGGACGTTGTTTCCTTATTTAGTGTAAAACTTCTACGCCACTGAATTAATTGGTAATATGAATACATTTTATAACGGTCTGAAATATTCCGGATGAAAAAACATTCTTTTATTTTTGTCGAAAAGTGAATGGTTTACGAGTTATGAGACATATTATCCAAGTTAATAAAGAGTTAAAATAGGGAAAAATAGAAAGAATTTGGGTGGTCCAGATCTTTAATAGACAAACTTCGAGAAAGTACTAAACAACAAAAATTAACATCACTTTGCTCTATGAACATAGGCACAGAAAGCCACCATTTGTGAGACACAGGGCGTTGAAATTAACAAAAGTAAAAATTTTTTTTTTAAATATCTGGAAAATCGCTTCATCAAAATTTGGTTCAAACTTTTTTTCAAATATTTATCCTAGTTCTGAATGCACACAGTCCAAATTCAAAAACCAGTGACGGAGAAACAATGATATCGTTTCCTTATTTAAAGTAAAACTTTTCTGCCACTGAATTAATTGGTAATACGAATACATTTTACAACGGCCTGACACATTCCGGATGAAAAAACACCCTTTTATTTTTGTCGAAAAGTGAATGGTTTAAGAGTTATGAGACATATTATGATGCGGTTTTCCAGATATTTAAAAAAATTAGTTTATTTTTTGTCTATTAAAATCTGGACCACCCAAATGTGTTTTATTTTTCCATATTTCAACGCTTTGTTTACTCGAATAATATGTCTCACAACTCGTAAACCATTCACTTTTCGATAAAAATAAAAGAATGTATTTTCATCCGGAATGTTTCAGACTATTATAAAATGTATTCATATTACCAGTTAATTCAGTGGCGTAGAAGTTTTACTTTAAATAAGTAAACGACATCCTTGTTTCTCCGCCACTGGTCTTTGAATTTGGACTATGTGCATACAAAACTAGGGGAAATATTTGAAAAAAAATATGTACCAAATTTGGATAAATTTGATAAAGCCGTTTTCCAGATATTTAAAAAAAGTTTTTAATTTTTAATGTTGATAGAGCAAAGTGATGTTAATTTTTGTTGTTTAGTAGTTTCCCGAAGTTTGTCTATTAAAATCTAGACAACCCTGTATAATGTATATGCAACGCACAATCAAAGCTTTGTTGGTTATTCCTGTTGCAATGTTGTCGCAAAATGGCTATGCAGCTCCCGCGTCTGTCATATGATTACTACGCGCTAAAAATGACCGTGTTCTTTCACTGATTTTCATGCGATGGATTAATCAAAATATATTATTATTGGTCTTTTAAAGCAAGCAATTTCTGGTTGGCTCTGCACAATCCATCACATCGAAACGATGAACAAAAAAATAACAAGACCATTGATTTTTACCTTATTAACGATTGCCTTTTGTTTTAGACTGCCACCACCGATTTAAGCGGCGATCCGAACGCGACCAAGCCAACTCTGACGGGTAACCCGCAGTTAGACTATATCTGGGATCCTAATCTGCCCAAGGAGCTCAATGGCTACAACTTGTCGGACTATCCTTTCTATGAAAGGGTTCCCGAGGACATAGATTTCAAGTGTGATGGGCTGCACGATGGCTTCTACGCCAGCGTGGCCCACAAGTGTCAGGTAACGGCTACACGGCATATTCGAGGTGGGCGATTTGTACATATTGCTTTTACTAATTGATCATGAGGGAAATGGTGGTAGGACAGGTATAATTTAAAGTAAAATATTCTTACATGGCAGTTTCGCTGATTTTAGTGTATGGCCGGCTTTAGGTGGTTCTATAATGGTCCTAAAAACATAATAAATATGGTTTCCACGGTGTTTTTGCATGCGTCGAGCACAAATACACGGCTACGTAGACAGAGTTCGTTTATTTACTCTGTTTACTGTGATATTACTTTATTATTATTATTAATTATTATTTTTGTCCCACAATGACTGCCTTTCATACTTAAGTCAAACATATTTTCGATTTATTTGATTGTCACAAATGTCATTGCTACACTCGTACGAACTAAATACTCCATACTCCAGTCGGGTTAGACAAAAAAAGGGCTTGACTGGGAAAAAATTAGGGACCACAATTTTATTGTTCTAACCTTTAGGGGTGGTCAATAGTAGTGTAAATTCAGAATCGCGACTGAATTCCACCCCTGCGTCAGCCGCCATCTTGAATTTAAGGAAAAATCGTTTTTGCTCAATATCTCGTCCATTTTCAACTTTACAACAAAAATGGTAAGGTCTTAAGTTGTTGGAAATGCGATTTCCTACAACTTCTTTTATTACAAATTTTATCGTGCGATCGATATTTTTCAAGTTAAGGGGGAAAATAGTGACAAAGTATAATTATTGAATTATCTCGTTTGTTATTGACTTTACGACATAAATATACATAAACAAAGTTGGAAAGAATTATATTTTCTACAATTTTGATCTCTTTGATTTTTTCGCTACTACCAACATTTAAGGTCCTACGCTTGCGGAGACGTCAGGCCTATGGAATGTTGATCCCTTGAGTTTAGTTAGGCTTGCCATAGGCGTAGGACCTTAAATTTTGGTAGTAGCGAAAAAATCAAAGAGATCAAAATTGTAGAAAATATAATTCTTTCCAACTTTGTTTATGTACATTTATGTCGTATAGTCAATAACAAAAGAGATAATTCAATAATTATACTTTGTCACTATTTTCCCCCTTAACTTGAAAAATATCGATCGCACGATAAAATTTGTAATTAAAGTAGTTGTAGGAAATCGCATTTCCAACAACTTAAGTTCTTACCATTTTTGTTGTCATCAAGTTGAAAATGGCCGAGATATTGAGCAAAAACGATTTTTCCTTAAATTCAAGATGACGGCTGACGCAGGGGTGGAATTCAGTCGCCATTCTGAATTTACACTACTATTAAAGGTTAGAATAATAAAATTGTGGTCCCTAATTTTTTCCCGGTTAAATGACAACCCGACTGGGCTACCAGTCGAATTAAGTAGTAGTACATTATAAAACGAACGAGGAAAAATCAGTTTTCGAAAATTGCGCCTTATTATTGCAAAAAGCGATGGATGTTGATGAAATTTATGCAAAAGACGGTTAATCCAGTGGTCAACATGTGAATTAAAGGCAGATTCGACTGATAGTGACAGCTTCAAGTTAATTTCGTTTGTTTTTTTGCAACTATGAAATTGTTTAATTGCTAAACGTTAATTTTATAAATTATAGTCCAGACGATAGGTATCTGTTTCAAAAAGTCCATATTTGGGTGAATCGTATACCACCGAGATTTTTGGCTTTAGTATAAATGACGGTTAACTTTGATCGGCTATAACTACGTAATTAAATGACCAAAAGCGTCTTTCCAATAACTTTTAAAACCTGTTTTAAAAAATTTGATTTGATTGAATATTCACAGTTATTCTAATCGTTTATAAGTACAAAAATTCGACCAATGTTTAAACAAGCACCAGAGCTCCTAATTGACAGATTCGAATTTTTCAAAAAGCATTTGAAAGCTTGAGAGCGTGATTAAATTTTCAAATATCTAAGGGCCTTGGTTTTTGCTGTGCAAAATTTTGGAAATTTGCAAATTTTTTTTTTCAAAATTTGGATTGCAAAATTATTATGCAAAATCTATAAAGCCGATTTTGATGAAATTTGGTGTGATGATTCGACATAACATGAAGTTTTCTTGAGCCAACTATGAAGGTCCTATACCCAATTTAAAGACCCCAAAAAAATTCCCTAAAAAGTAATGGTTTTTAACCCTATTTTTGGCGATTCTTTCGATTTTTACAATAATAATCATGATTTATTCGATTTGTAACTAGTCATATTTTGTAAAAAAATTAATTACAAACATTTTTCTTCTTCCATTTTCGCCTAAAATCAACTCTTGAAAAGATACATAATTAAATAGGAAGAGAAATATGACATTTTTCGAATTTTTTTGCATATTGTGCCGCCAAAAGTTAAGCCCACGTTTTTTTAATGCGCATATAAAACTTACCTACGCCTCTTTGTTCCAAAGATACCTTTTGTTATAATGTTAATTGTTAATTAATACATATAACAAATTATCTCTTTTTAGGGCACGTTTTAGATCTGACGACGTTGACTGCGCTGCTCCATGGCTACGGAAGCTTCTCGTAAAACTGTGGCCAGTGGTCAATTAGAAGGACTCTTTTGTCCTGTATATCTACTGATACAACTTTTTTTATCAAATCTAAATCTAACCTCAAAGACAAACGTTCCTTAATTATATCAAAATATAAATGTATCCCTGCGCAATTCTAAATTATTATAAAAACATTTACTTATATGGAACACGTGAATTCGTTTTGACGAAATACTGATTTAACATTTTCATGTTCTAAAGATAAGGAAATAAATGACATTAATTTGTTCTCTAATAATTTTGCTTGAAACTTAAACATTGAGAGACTTTTTCCAATGAAAACTAAAGTAGAACAGGGGCTTGATTTTTGAAAACAGGAGAATTAGTTCATTAGAGAAAATTACGTCATTTTCTCTTGACACGCAGATAATGTGATTTTTGAAATTTTCTTGTGGAATATTTTCTCTAGATATCAAGAGAAATAATTCCACAGGGTTTTGTCGGGGGAATTGGCGTTTTCTCCGAATAGTTTGAATCCAAATGTCATCTCATGCTCATGCGCGAAAAGTCACTTCATTCATTCGCTGTTCGAAGGTGCGTAATCATTTGAAATTTGTAATTTGTAATGGATCCAAATAATTTATTATTAATTCTAAATATAATGAATAATTTGCAAGCTGCAGAAATTGTAAACCATCCGCGACAACATTAATTAAACCATTTAAAGTTTCAGCAATATCTGACCACTGTTTTTGGGCCTTTTTGTGAGTGAAAGTAGAAGAAAACTTTCATTTTAAAAAGTTCTTCGTTGTTTCTAAGCATATTAATTTCTTTTTTGCGCTTTCGACGTGAACGAACGCTTCATCATAATTATAATAATATTAAATTTTTTGTGTTTTCAAATATACTTCTATTCAAATTGAAGTTATATTAAATTACTACGCATATCATGGAGATGTCTAGTCTCCCTGACAAATATAATGACATTTACAAAACAACCTTCAAAATCAAATCAAGTGACTAAACATCAGGGTCGCCAATAATGGCACTGAAATATTGAAGAAAACTCTGCCCGCTGATTGGTCAGTTGCAAATATATCTTCGACATACGGCATAAATTAAATTCTCTAGAGAATTGGATTCCTTCAACGTTCAAAAATAAGTGTTTAAGTTTTTAAGAGAAATTTGTCAGGTGAATTTTTTCTCTGGAGTATCAGTTCTCCTGTTTTCAAAAATCAAGCCCCTGATGATAAAATTTAATTACCAATTTTTCCGTTTACAAAAATCTACGGCCACAACTATTCAGCTTAGGCCGTTCGCGGCCGTATCACAAACCCCCGACGTGGTCTCTTGCCGCTGTCTTTACCCGGTGGAGTAGCTTATAAACCAAAGAACAGAGCGCAGACGGTAAAACCACACACATTGTCAATAAACGTATTTGTTTTCTTACGAATCCAAATCCAATGTAACCAGTGCCTAATGTAGAGTACGATGCTAATTCCACATTGCGTAACAACCTTAACTATGCTAATAGATTTGGAGAATCACGTCAAGTGTAAGTGTGATTGGGACAAAGATATTATGAAACTTATTTTCTTCCTTACGTAATAATTTTCTCCTCGCATAATATATGTGCGCAGGGTTTACGTATGATTACGTACGTGTTGTCCACTGGGCTATTATATTAGGACATAAGGAAACTGAATGTAGGAATTTGAATAAATCATTACAAAAATGCGGCTTAGCCCGCGAGTGGTTTAGGTATGTATAGGTCCAGATTAAAGATTTAACAAAAATTTTAAATATCGGTTTTTCTTTTCCTAGGCAAAAAATGGCGCACAAGAAATATTTTAAACGGGTGCTGCGCTAATTCGTAACGTCATTTAGTGCGATCGGGAATCCAAGATGAATGACAGGGTCAGGGTAGCCCAACAGCAAGAGCGTAGTAAATAACAAGAGTCTAAAGACAGTCAAATCCACTTTGTTTCATCAGATTGAGTTTTGTCTCGTTGGCATGGTAATTGTGACGAAAGACAGCCGAGAAGTAGGTCGTGTTGCCGGTCGCACTAAATGACGTCACAATGCATTTTTGATCACCTAAACCTTTAAGATTCACTGCCTGAAGTCAGAATTTCAAAATTCCAGATTGTGGATCCAATATGGCGGACAAAATTTTTGAAATTGAATCAAATTCGACCAAATTAGGTATACAGGGGTTTTCGGGGTCGCTGATTATTAATCCGAGATCAAATTTGCAAAATTCAAAATGGTGGATCCAAGATAACGGTGAAAATTTTAAAAATCAAAAATTCAAGAATTTTTTGGGAAAAACGAGCGTATCTTAAAATATTTACGTTAAGCAAGTAATTCTACTATCGCTCTATATGAAATCGCGAGTATTATGACATGTATCACCCAAAATCAAAGCTGAACTCATCTTGGAACTTTCTCAGTAACACGTTCTAATGATATACAAAAATTTTAACGAATTGCCAAAATGGGCGATATTTG